TACTGACGATTATAAAAGGGGCGCGCTTGCCTTTTTAAATTATTTATTTATGTTTTTTATTTTTTGTTGTTTTTATTTTTTCCTTAGAGTGAAATACAAAATAATTTTTTTGAAATATTATTAAGGGTTTCATTTAGTTTAACTTGTCACAAGAAATAAATCTTAAAGAGTACATAAATTTTCTGCTAAACAAAATCTTCATATTTAAATAAGTACAAAAAGCTAACAATAAATTTCCGTTTTATCAGGGTTGTATTTATATTAACATCGATTAATTTAAATTTCTTTAATTAAAAATAACATAAGATTAATTTAAACAACAATATTATTTTAAATGACATTTTGAAATTTCTATTATGTATTTATAGTGAATTTAATATTAAAGAGCGCTTATGAAAACGTAAGATTTAACGTCAGCTTAATTTATAATGCAGTATAAATTCTACACTGCAGATTCTTTTGTTTTAAGTCATTAGGGGAAATTCGTCAATAGTTCTTTACCATATAACAAGTTTTGTTTTACAGAACCGCAAATTATTGGTAACATTATAAATAATTTTTTTTCGATAAAAGAATTTAAGGTAAAATTAAAGTATTTTTGACAGCCTGTCTGGTATGGCTCTTGTAAAATCACAATCACATTTATCGTAAATGTAATCAAGAATAACGTTTGCTAATATATCTATTTGTAGCACGTTACGACAATATGGTATTAAAGAATTGAGTACAAAAATATCTTCTATTTGTTTTGTTTATTAAAGATGTCTACAAATTGTAAAAAAGAGCAAAAATTATTTTGATTTGTCAAAATGATCGGGTAGCGTTTACATTAAAAATGATTTATGAGAAACAAATTTTCATCTCACATATTTGAAATAAGTTTTTTACAAGTTTTTTCCACTGCCTAAAAATATGCAATTTCTTATTCTTTTAGATAAATTTTTGTCTTAGCTATAATTGTACAAAGCAAGCATAAGAGTTGGACAGGTTATGTGAATTTAAAAAGTACTTTAAATCGAAATTTTATTTCAATGACTAATTAATGTGTAGACATTGAGCAAAAGTGTCTCAATTTAAATCTCTTATCAGACAATCATTACGCATTTTTCCATTTGACATTGTAAAAGAACTCTCTCTAAAATATTAAGCCTCAACACTGTTTCTTGTATATCGAATCTATTAAATTTAACAAATTAGAAGAGTATATAAAAGAGATTATTCGAGTTAAAACTTAAGAGCGTTATTCGTTACTATTCCCATGTGCTTTTTTTCTTGCTCTTCATAATTAAAATTTAAAAAGAGAGACTATATGAGTCCTTCATTGTTTTATCTTAATATAAATATTTTTGAACTCATTATATTTGATATATATAAAAAATATGTAAGTATTTATAATAATTTTCACAATTTTGTTATACCTTACATTATAATAAGGTAGGGGAATATTATAATAATACATATAATGTATACGTGCCTTAAATTCCAAAGTTTCAATTTTAATTCAACAGAATATTGTTAAAAAAAAAAAAGATTTTTATATATCGAAAGTATTTTAACCTATTTTTTTTCTCTTCACATAACTTTATTTCCTTTTGATGTTTCTTCAACGTCCCTGATGATTTTAGAATTTCTTTAACTTTTCTGTATATGTGTGTATAGGTACATATATTGAGGCATTTGTTTTTTTTTCGTTTAAGTTCATATAATGACTTTTTCCGCTTGTTTACCAAAATATCAATTTTATGTGAAGGATTTCCACCCTAACTAAGAGAAAGAAAGAAAAAACAATAACAAGAAAACAAAATGAGGAAAAAAATGTTTGCGTAAATTTTTCAATCATTCGGAAAATTTAAATGTAGATTTCTTTTAAACAACATAGTCATATTTTATTACATGTATGTATATAAGTATGTCTATTATATAGAAAAGTAAAATGATATTTACAGGGAACGAAATTCAGATTGAACTATTATTATTTAAAACATAATCTAAAACATATTTTAGAGTCTTAAATTGTCTTCTTTCACGCTTACTTATAAAACAAAATTCAAGTAATAAAAGTTTTAAATCAGCGTAACATTGGCAATATTGTGCTGTAGTCGTACTTTTTCTTCTTTCTTATTTTTATTATTATATTTTATGGTGGAAATAGTACATTAAGTTACGCAGGGTTAAGAAAATTTACTTTTGCAGTTATTTAAAAAAAAAGAAAATTATTGCTATGTCGGTATTTCTTTTATATAAAATTTCTAGTTCTATGATTTTGGTCCCTCAAAAAAAAAATCATTTTCAAATAAATTTCACTTTTTCGTTGTTAAAAGAAAAGAATTATTGAAAAAAATTAAGTAAAATATAATTAAATCTCTTTTATTACAATGCACATAAAAAAAATTACTTTTAATGCTAGTCAAATTTTTTACAAAGAGAGTGTCTCTCATTTAAGAAGATGGAAGATCTTACCATGTATACAATTAAAGTTTAAGTGTTTGTGTATGTTGTAATGGAATATGTTTAATGATTTTTTTTATGAAGTTTAATTGAATAATTATATATGTATATGGTATACAAATGAACATAAAATTGTCTAGATTTGTCTAGATTTTTTAACTTTCTTTAATATTGTTGTAAAATTTTCAAAAATGTTGCCAGAAAGAAAGTTTAAGAGTTGGTTCAAATTAAATTTCAGGTAAATTTTATGCAAGTCAATTTTTCTTTAATATATTTCAGGGCATTATTATTAAATGATTGAGTTATTCTAAGTCAAAGTGTTGAATAAGATTCTTATTTTAAGAAAGAAATACATTATATAGAAATTTAAATTTTTCCAAAGAAAAACAGTATGGTGAAAAATATAGTGTTGAAAATAAAGTGATTTTGGGAGTGTAATATTTAATACGCAACTGAAACGTGTCACTTTTCTTAAATATTTTTAAAATAATTTTGCATACAAACTTATGTAAGAATACATTGTAAAAAAACATCATTTTTCTCCGGAAAATACGCAAGATACAGTTAAAACATTTTTTTCTGGTCTGGTGATACCCGTACGAACTTATATTCGAAGAGTATTATTAATTTGCCTTTCCATTTGTTACAATGATCTAAGATATAGAGATAAGTGTATGTTTCTGATCAGCGTCGAGTTCTGTGTCGATTCAACCATATCTGTTAATCGGTCTGTCCGTTTCAACGAAAAATCAAAAACTCACTTAGTCAAGCTCACCAAATTTTTAGAAATGACTTATAGTAGTAAGTTCTGCAACTTTACTCAAATTGAATGTGGTCGAGTCAGTGGTTCATGTAGCTGCCCTGAAACTTCAAATGCCACTTGGCTATGTCTATAGGAAATTATTGAAGCTATAATATCGAAATTTCACAAAAGCAAATATGTATAATATTGCGGTGGTTATGTGTCATAAAAGTAATTGAAATTTCTTGATATCTTAAAAACTCTCGAAAATATAATACTGACATTTTGCATAAATTGTTAAGCTAAGGTAATGCAGCAACTATTATTTCGTTTTATTGCAAACTTATATGTTCGAAGAGTATTATAAATTCGCTCTGTGATTTTTCTTCCTTGTTTCTCGACTAAATGTTTGAATACAGCCGGATACAAAAGGTTCAACACCACGTAGATTTATTTATTTCATTTCTTGCGAAACAAAACCATCCTTATTAAAGTTGTAATCTGTTCAATAGTCAGCTTTGGCATATTTGTTATCTAGGATAACAACCTTGTACGAGGATCACAGAGTTGACAAGATAAACTCTATTTTTTTTAATTAAAATTTATACATTAATTTTTCATAATCAACAAGGATTTTCTAAACTCATTCCATTGCTTCATTACTTCGAAATCGAAATTTTTTAATGATTGGGTCCCCAACTCTATATGCATGTTATGTACAATATGCTTCCAATAACAATATTCTAATGCTTCAATTTAAAGTACTTGCTACATATTCACTTCGCACAAATTATTCACTATATCAATTTTATTATTTTAAGTTACAAGATGTTTATAAGAAAATTATTATTCTTGAATGTTACAATTTATGCATATATGTAGATACATATACAAAATTTATTAATAATTTTCAAAGAATCTGATAATTTTTCATTAATCTTTATTTAATTTTAGAATTTATTCATTAGAATTCGAAATGAAAATAAATAAAATCTAATTTGTAATTAGTAATCACCAAATTTTCAAAGAATAACATAAATTTTTTTTTTGATTTTACCACACTAAGAAAACTACAATGTTCCCATAAAATTGTTAATAACAAGTTTGTATGAATATGTTTGCTTAGTTTAATTAAATAAAATTTATGATTAAAGTGTAAATCCATTTAATTTTGAGGATTTTTATATTTAATTGAATGAATATTTTAAAAAAGAAAATTTTAGATTCTTTTCCTCTATTTTTGTTTACAAGAAATAAAAAAGAAAAATGTTATTTTTGCACTTTAAAATTTTAACTTTGAGTGATGTTTCCAATTTAAAAAAAAGCAAAAAATTAAAAGAAATGAAGTTCAACTGAAAATTTATTTCGTTTTCAAGGTAAATATAGATCGGAATCTGGTTTAAATTATTGAGCAACTATGTATGAGTGCGTACATATTTAGTTGCATAACCGTATATGCGCGTATATGTTTCTTATAAAATAATCGAACCTCAATTGTTTTATTGTGTACGCTGAGAAATGCCGAGAAATGTACAAAATGTTTACCTTTTAATATACTATATAGAGGGTCTGTATTTTTTTTAATTGAACAATACCGCTCGCTCTACACTAACAGAACTCTTAATATAAATTAAGACGTAAAACTTGAAAAGAAAATAATTGAATGTTTTCAAAAAAGAACGAAAATAATAAATTCATTACAATAATTAATGTTCAAAAGTATAATAATGAAAATAATTAATAGAATATGCTTTTTTTTTATATCTACATACATATATGTATGTAGATACAAGTGTACAACTTCACTTACGTTTGCATGCCTTCCTATGATTAAGTGGTTTTGTTGGATCTCTGTAATAGCCTTCTTTGCAATAATGACAATAGCGACCAGTTGTTGCATGCCGGCAATTAATACAAACTCCTCCCGATATACCTCCAGATAATTTGAAAAGTTCCATATTAAAACGACATTGACGTGCATGTCCATTACAGTTGCACACTTAAAATAAAAAAACAAAGAACAAAATTTAATTATATTTGTATTTAATTGTGTATGCAATATTATTTGTATGTAAAAATTAAATACGAATTTTGTCCAAATTGATGGTCTCACATCCCAAGTTTTGAAAGTAAGAAATTTATGAGCAACATTCGATTTTGATTTTATTTGACGACTTATGTACGTCTACTGTGAACAATTAAATTATTGTGAATTTAAAAAATTAAATTAAATTTCATACAACTTTTTCAAAAAGAAAAATTTTAAATTTTTTTCACAAATTTTATAAAAAAAATAAAAAATTTTGTTTTTTTGACATTAAAACCAAATTCACAAAAACTATTTCTAATTGAATTTACAATATGGCATTGTAAATACGTAATATGTAATAAATTTTGCTAAATTATGAGAATCGATTAACCATTTTGAGATTTTTCAAGAGAAATTAGCTGGAATATGCTCGTATTATTCATTATCACACATCATCATGCCCAATTTGTTAGTTAGTATTGTAACAAGGAAGGAACGTTGGTTGGAAACATAGATAATAAATAACCCTGGATATCTGATATTTATGGTTGGATCTGTCATTTATGGTTGGAAAAAAACATGAGACCAAATAGAAACCGATCCTAAATTAAATAAAAACAGTGGAAAATTCCAAAAAAGAGTATAAGAAAGCATTATAAATACAATGTAGAATTACAAATAAAGGAAACAGAGGTGGGAATATCAGTCTACATACCAGAGAGACTATATGGTTTCATATCAACACGAAAAATTCAAGCCCATCCGATGTCAACTAGAATGGAATATTATTCCAATAGAAGACTTCATACCCAATACTTAAATTAGCTGTTGGAACATCCACATGTCATTCAAAATCTACCTTATAGCCGATTGCTAGATAAAAAGTTTAGTTGCAAACGAAACAGGTCCTATCATCATCGGATTAGAACAAAGAAAGGTCAAATATATACCAAGAATGTCAAAGTCACTTCACTTCTTTACTTCAATGTCAGGAGCTTCCTATGGGCATCAAACAATAATTAGAGTTTTCCAATGATACAAAAGTTTCCACTAGTTATGATAGTTTCGAAAGGCACACTCACACAAACGTGCTCAAAAATTACAAATGAGTGAAAAATCAAAATCGACTATGTGCAATTTTTAAGCAAATTCAAATGTTTATTTAATAAACAATCACTACAATCTTTTAATTAGAAATAATTTCACCACAAAGAAATAGCCTACCTAAAATAGCCTTTTCACTTTTACTTTTTTTAAGTGACAATACCAAAATATCTGAGATTTTCATATTCAGCAACATGAAATCAATTTGTTTTAAACAATTTCAACCTCTCATACAAACTGTTCGCTTGTTACTTAGTGCTTACTGTTCGCTTACTTTGTTTGTTAAATGTTTATTTAATCATCTTTCTTTTACTCTAAAAGAAATTATATTTTACATATTGTGGAGTCTTACAAAAAAAGGCAATTTCGAAAGAACTTCATATCTTGAATGTTCAATCTAAAGAAAAATTTGGAACACGCACAATTTGTGTATGATGCCAAAAATTTTGTGAATAAAAAAACATTAAAATTTTAAATTTTAAATAATAAAAAGTGCATTTATTGTATACGTGAATTAATGGATTGATATTTGGGTAAAATTATGCTTATTATTACTCATTTGCATCGTAATAAATATTGAAATTATGGAAAATATCTTGAAAGTTCAATAAATTTATTCATTTGTTCAGTTATAAAATGAAATCTAAAATTGTGTTCATGTGCCATTCAAATATAAAATGTACATACTTACATTTAAATACCGAACTACTGAATGGTTAACTTTTGTATTCATATTCTTATAGGTCCCTGGCTATTATTTAAAAATGGTTATATGATCGTGCATTGAAACTTCTTTTTACATTTTCTTCTTTTTTTTCCGATTATTATTTGTAGTTGATTTTTATTATAGTTATGGACACTTCAATTTGTTTTCAATATAATACTACTAAAGGATGCATTTAAATAAAGTATTCAAAAATAAAATTTTTACCTTGATCTCAACAGAAATAAAAAGGTAAAAATATTCCAAACTATAAAATATTATAAAAAAAAATAAAAATGTATACGTATTTGTGTGTATGTATATATTGAAATTTCTTTATTTCTTAATATGGAAGAGTAACAGATTCGCATGTTTTAAAAGAGAACGCGTATTAGTCAACGGGACAACAAGAGATGTCATTAAGCCGACATGATGTGAAATTTGTGTTTGTATTTTTTATTTTTATTTTTTTATATATAAATACAAATGCTAACAATGATAGTAAGGTAATGAATAGAATACAAGTATAAATTATGAACGTACAACAAATATGGGTAGATTTTGGACACCAAAATGCATTATTCATTGTTATAAAATCTCTATATATCCTACATATATATAAATATTATTATTACTTGTTATTTGCATGACCAATTGCGGAAGGTATTATAAAATAGCCACTCCATATAGACAACAGTAAAATGTACGAAATGAAGAATCACAAAATCGATCCTTTTTATTCCTTATTATGTGGTTATTGCATTATAGACAATATTACCAGCACGAATTCCTTAAAGAATGTTAATATAGAGCTTCATGTCTTAATTTAATTTTTAGTCAAACTCATATTGAAATTAGAAACTCACATACATACATGAGTATTCAGGAATTTATTAGCTATAGGTACCTATATTCTGCCATATAAGGAAATACTGTTATAAACAAAAAAATTCAATGATCCTATTGATGGCAAAATGTCTCTTAACATTGTCTTGTATTTAATTCGCTAATATCTAATTATTTAGGTGCCGTATATGGAACTTTTAGATCTCTTAATGTAACCATCAGCCTTTATGGAAATTTTTATTCGAGAGTTCAATCTACTTTTGTTTCTAGCAATTATTCCACATTTTGGCTCATTATTTAAATTAGAAAAAGAAAACGTCGGAAAGTTCAAGCAACTGTCATAATCCTATTAAGTACTGGAATCGTTGTAAACAGGGTCTATTCAAATTCTTTTCCATATATGATCACCGTTATATGGTTGGCAGCAATAATTTTCTGATCAGAATCGAAATTAAGAAGTTTCAAAATTCCACAATCATGCATTGAGAATATTTCGACATACAAATTAATGTATGTATGTTAAATGAGAAGCTTAAAAATATGATCGAAAATTTTACTTATATAATGGCAAAACTCAAGTTTTCTATGCAGCTGTAGCCACAAACTCTAGTAAAGTTTTGTAACAACACTTTCAAAAAGCAAATACTAATTTCTACATTTTGTGGTTTAATGACACATAAATTGTCTTACAGATTGTATGTTTAATAAACAACTTAATAAAAACTCGGCAAACATAATAATTAAATATCGTTTAAGAGATTTTCAAAAATAATCCGTATAGATTTATATACAGTTGATGTCTATGTATTTATACACATAATACTTGTATAAGTAACCGAATTAAATGACGATTTGGTAACCTTGGGCTATAACATTCAAAACTTTTAATATCAATTAAATAATGTAGGAATTTGTAAAAATGCGAAATAATAGTTTGTACTTTTTTTTTTTAAATTTCAAATGTAAATTCATTAAAAAAAGTATGTAATGCAGATGACAGTATACGACTGAATTATGTATTTAATTTTTAAGCATGATATACCAGTCATATTTAACTGAATCGTGTTAGTTATGCATTCAGTTGGACTCAAATCATAACTGATTTCATTAAATTTAATCGTTTTGCATATATTTAGCCTAACAATACAACTCACAATTATTTGTACAAACGAAGTGCGTTAAATGTCATTTTATACAGAAAATTCAAAATTTTACACTGTTATTTTTATTAATCGAGTAGGAAATAAAATGATTTCTTAAAGTAAATGTAAAAATTTCAATAAATTTTTGTAAATCATTGCCAACATTGCAATAATATATTAAAAATTAAATCAGATTTTTGACATACGTCAATTTGTATTTGATGTGACATTAGTTTCCGTTTTTACTCTTCAAAGTGAAACTAAACTTTTAAGACATTATTTTTTTCAGTATTGTGAATTAAAAATTTAAAAAGATTTCGTGTGAAGAAATAATTTTCCTAAATTTTATTTTTATAATTATTTGATGATTTTGTATGACGAAGAAGCTATTAAAAAAATTTTTTTTAATAATAATTATCTTAAGCTCTTTTAGATTACAAAAGAAATATTTAGGTGGATTTTTTTTTCTATGTATAACACATACGCAATATCAACTCATATACATACATATGTATGTATAACTATGTAATACAAACATTTGAGCATGAAAGGGTAAAAGAGTTTCTACTAAAAAATAAAACTCGCAAAATAATTAATTAAATACATACAAGATTTTTGCGGTTTTTAAAAATTTGAGTGATTTTAATGACATATGCCAAAATTTTCACTTTAATGATCGATTTTTTGTTTTTAAATTTAATTAAAAATTTTTCAAATATATACTGTAGTTTTTCGAAATATTTTATTGTAATGGGAGAAATTATTAATTGTTCAAAAATCTACTATGTTATATGTAGGTAAGAACGCAAACATTTAGATCAACAGGTACATTTTGTATAGTTAAGTAATTATGTATTTATTTTATATACATAATTAGTTAATAAGTTCGTCTGATTACTCTCCTAAAACCTCTAATTAAGTCTAAAAATTCCAAAAGTCTAAAAAGGAGTACCAAAAAACTATCTGTAGACAAGATATGAGTCTATATTTCTTTCTCTCTATGAGTGTTTGCCTCTTTTAAAATGTAACGCCATTCTCTAACAAATGTGCTATTTAGCACTATAAAATAAAAAACCATTTTGCCCTACTCTTCAACTTTGAATAACTTTTACATTATAATGAAACATTAAATACTATTATTAGCGACAATATTAATATTTTCGAATCTTGTCTGA